ATAACAGTTTTGTTTTGCAAAAGGAGAGTCTAAGATTTAAACTCCCCTTTTCCTTGGGGCAGCAAATCTTATCCCAGGCAATTAGGGAAACCTTCTTTGATTAAGGAGATGTTCCCTAGAAGAATTGGGCACAGATCTGGTCAATTTAGGATTTATCTTTTTTGGAAGATAGATAGCTTGCATAAGTAGGCAGGGATGGAGGAAATGGTGGATTTAATTAGGACAGTTCTACTAGCTTTAGAGAGGTGCTTAGCCTTCCAGCTACTAAGTTTGTTCCTTATCTTTTGGGTGATGTGGTTAAGTTGGTTTTTGTTAGGTCTCTTGTCAGTCAAAGGAAAACCCAAATAGGTTCCCAGGTCCTTACTAACAGGAATGCCAAGGCTAGAGTTGAAGAGATCAATGGTGAAAGGGGTGGCATTCTTAGAGAAATAGATTTTACTCTTGGAAGGATTCATGCAATGGCCAGACATAGCCCAGAAAAGATCAAGGGTGTCCTGAAGGCTATTTAGAGTGGGAGGGGAGGCTTCACCAAAAAGCAAGAGGTCATCTGCAAAAAGAAGGTGAGAAATGGGGGTGCTATTATTTCTAAACCTGAAAGGGTTCCAAGATCCATCCTGACAAGCTGAATCAATAAGGAAGGACAGATAGTTCATGCAAATGATGAAAAGATAAGGGGAGAGAGGGTCCCCCTGTCTAATTCCTCTAGAGGCAGGGAAAGATTTAGAAGGGGACCCATTTACCAGGACTTGGAAAGAAGGATTTGAGACACAGTTCATAATCAACTCCACAGAGCCTCCATCAAATCCAGAGTTTAGAAGACAAAACTTGATGAAAGGCCATTCTAGCCTATCGTAGGCCATTCTAGCCTATCATAGGCCATTCTAGCCTACATACTTCACCTAGCTCCACTGAAATTCCCATCCAAACCAACTCCACCCACCACCACCACCGCACACCTTAAACAATCTCCACCCACCACCACTAGCAACCCTAAATCACCTTTAACCCAAAAAAATTAATTTATTAAAAAAATAACCCATGAAACTAAACCAACAAAATTGTAAAATTAAACATAAAACCAAAAATTAATATGAATATCAAACCCAAAATAAACAAAAATCAAACAAAAAAATCAAACAAAATAGCGAAATAAAATAATAAAAAAATTAACAAAAAAAACGAATGAAAAAATCACAAAAATTAAACAAATTTTCAAAAACATCAAACCCAAAATGAACAAAACTTATACATCAGAAATAAAAGAAAAATTAAGAGAAATAAAAATCAAACAAAAACCCAACATGGAAAATCAAACAAAAACCAAACATGGAAATTCGAAAAAAAAAAACCCAAATATCCTAAAAATCAACATACCTTTACAAATATTTCATCCTCTTTCGATTTATATGGTCAAATTCGACTGTGAAAACTTCAAATCTGGAATTTTCATGGTGGAATTCGACCATGCACACTAAAATTTATTTGTTCGTTGCTCAGACCCATGGACCAAAATTCGAAAAGGAACAAAGAAAGTGTGAGTGAAGTAGATGCCGGTGGTATGTAAGAGATAGAATAGAGGAATAAAAAAGAGAAAGGGTGGCATGAGAAAACAGAGGGAGGAGGAAAGAGAAGAGAGAGAAAGAAAAGTGAAAGGAAAGAGTTGTAGGCCTGTAGCGACGTTCAGAAAAAAAAGGGAGGATGAAAGAGAAGAGAGAGAAATAAAAGAGAAAGGAAATAGGAGATGTAGCGGCGTGAGAATGAATGTTAGGGTTAATGTGAGTTGGGCACCCTTAAATACCCTTTTAAAAAAAATAACGGTATTATGACCGTCAAAAGCGGTGGCAAAATTGCGACCGTTTAAAACTGTCGCAATTTTGCGACAGCTTTTAACGGTCGTAATAGGTTATTTTTCATTTACAATTATTTTAGACATGTATTTTTTTTAAAAAAAAATTTCAAATACTCTTGCGTCCGTTTTTTGGCCAAAAATAGTCGCAATTATGTAGGCGCTTATAAAACGGTCTCAATATTGCGACCGACTTTTAAAAGGTCGTAGATTGCAACTTTTGCGACTGTATTTATGACGGTCGTAGATAAATGGTCGCAATTTGGAATAAATTTAGTAGTGGGAGATGAAGGCTTGGGATAAGGGGAGAGGGAGGGTGGCCACCAGTGCCGAGAAGACGTTGGTCGCCGGTGGGGGCAGGGGAAAAGGGCTGGGCTGGAATAGGAGTGGCGGAGTGTTGGGGAAAGTGGCTGGGGGTTTGATTTTTTTTTAATTTGTTTTTTTTTTGTTAAATAAAATTATAATAAAACCGGACCAATTAGAATATGCCATGTGGCATAATTAGTCTTAATGACTAAAGGAGTTTAAGTCCGTTAGTTATTTGGGAATTTGATGACATTTTTGTGAAAGTCATAAGTATATGGTGAATTTGAAAATTTTCATGGGTATATGATGAATAAAATAATAACTAAGCGGCATTTGGTGAAAATCTATAAAATTTATTATTAGAAATATAATAACTTTTGTAATATATATACAGGGTAACTTTAAATACTTTTATGATTATTTTAACACGCCTTACAATAAATTAACGTATACCCACTGTTTTCGGAGAATTTGTGTTTTAATATTGTTGCTTTTGTTGTTGGTCCATTCATCTAGATTATAAAAAAATAAAACAAGTGAGGGTCATGAGGTATTTAGGATGCAAAATTATTATGGAATTGCACCACTGTGTCGAATGAACATGGTTGCAACGAGGGCATGAAAACCCTTATTATTATGCTTCATGCTTATCTTATTATTGTATTCTTATCTAGGTTTTGATAGTGTCAAAATCCTTGTAGTTTACGGTTGTATCATTGACCAGTTTCTAAATGACCAAATTAATGACCAAACATACCTGGTGGATTGTTTGAGAAATAGTTAAAGCAGTTGTGAAGGATATAGGGGTAAATGGAGTTGGGATTTGTATTTCTATTTGCCAATTACATGGAATCAATTGATTCATATCCGGGCAATTACATGGTGTATATACTTAAAAATGTCTCTTGAATTGAAACCTGATAATGAATGAAAGATATCATAGTCAATTGGTTAAGGTAGAGCGTCAAGATTAAGGAGTACATAATTTTATTTCTAAGGGCCTGTTTTGATTTACTGAATTGAGCTGAACTTAACTGTTCTTATTTACTTAATTGAGCTGAACTTAACTGAGCTAAACTGAAATGTTTAAGAGAGAAAAAAAATTGCATTACTACAAAATAGTCAAATTCTGACGAAACTGATCCGACAAACACGAAAATCCGTCGGAAAATACAAAATTTCCAACGGTTTTTATTTCCATCAAACATCTGTCGAAAATTTCATACGAAATTTTAATGGCAGAAAATTATTTATTTCCAATGGAAAATTCGTCGAAAGTTTTATATTTTCCGACGGAAATTAATTCCATCGAAAACTTCTGACGGAATTATGGTTAAAAAAAACCCCCAAAACCGTACAGCGCCCTTCCCCTCCCCCCTTTCATTTCTCATTTCTCTCTCTCCGCCTCTCTTGTCTTTCTTTCTCCTCTCCTATCTTCCTCTCATCTTCCCTCTTCTCTTCTCACGTCCCTTCCCTTCTCTAATTCTTTCCCATGCCCTTCTCCTCTCCTCTCCTCTTTTTTAGTTTTTCTCACACCTCTCTTTCTCTGGTGGTGGGTTTAAGCCGATAACGGTGATGGTGTAAAACAAATTAATGGTTTTTAAGGTTAAATTCGACCATGAAAATGCTAGATCTAGAGTTTATGGTCGAATTTGGCCTTATTAAACCAATTTCGAGGTGAAATTTGAAGTTAATTTGATTTTTAAGCTACGTTTTAATGTTTTTAATTTTTGTTTCATTTTTTTAATTAATTTTTTGTATGTATTGTGGTTGGTTTGGTCGTTCTTATTGATGGTTTTAGGTGGGTGGGTTTGGGTGTGGGTTTGGTCAGGTTTGGGTTAATTTATGGGTGTTTAACGTTAGTGGATTTGGGTTTAGGTTTGGTGGGGTTTTGGTTAAGGTTCGGTCAGGGTTTGGGTTAGGTGGGTCTAGGTTAGGGTTAGGTGGTGGTGGTGGGTGGCTGATGTGTGTGCGTGTGGTGGGTGGCGCTGGGTTTGCGGTGGCTGTAGGCTTGGGTGGGTTTAAGGTTAAGCTGGGGATAGTTTAGATATAGGCTTAGGGTTAGGGTTAGTTAGGGGCTAGTGGTGATCTGATGTGGGGGTTAGTGGCGGTGGTGGTCTAATGTTGGGTTGTAGATGGTGATACGCCATGTCAGTGACGGTGCAGCGTGTTTTTAAAATTCATTAAGTCAGTTTTCTTCGGAAATTTTCGGCGGAATTATGTTGGTCGGAAATTTCCGACGGACTTTTCCGGGGACGGAAACTCTTTTCCATAAAGAATTCCGTCGAAAAAGGTCGTTTTTCCTACAAAATCTTTTCCGACGACCGTTTTCAGAAAAGGGTTTTCGATAAGATTTAAGGTGTTTCCGACATGATTCAAGGTGTTTGTGACAGAATTTTTCCGTCGGAAATGGCTTGTTTTCCAAGAGAGTTAGGAACTGAACTAAACTGAGCTAAACTGAACTAAACTGAAATTAAGCTGAAGAGAACAGGTCCTAAACCCATTCCATTTTACTTTTTCAGCCCACATTTTATTTTTATTTAAAGTCCAAGCATTTATTCTTAATTCTTTTTAAGCCCAATTTATTAATAGTCCAATTTACAAAAACAACGCAAGTTTAAAACAAATTTATAGAATTCATAAAACGTACAAAAACCATTTAAAACATATAATTTACTACTTTGTACATCAAAACGCTTAGAAGGATAAATTAGATAAATCTAAAATTTTGCGTTTTGGCGCATCACACCTAGGCTTGGCACAACGCGACGTTTTCGTCATGTAGTGCTAGTTTCACGTCGTGCTAAAATCCGACATGACGTGATGGTTTCCGTACTTTGGCGGCAATTTTCTATCTTTTTCCCCTTGTACTCCAATAAATATTGTAGCCTTTCAAGGTTACGAGCATCAGTTTCTGCTCACCTTTTCTCTAATGCTCTTATTCTTTTAATCTTCATCCATGTTTTGAAATCTTTCACAATTCTTTCTTCAAGAGCTCCTAGACATCATACTTAACTTGAAGTTCCTTTGGTGGTCCACGGCATGAAAGGTTGATTATAAACCCAAAGAGTTTCAAATCTAGCTTGATTTGATTTTATTTAATCTAATTTAGTTTAATTTGCTTTTGATTTATGTATTAAATTTAAGTTTACTAGTACTGACGATTTACTCATGTTGTAGTTGCAAGGTTTCGCAATCAAAGTCAGTAGATTGAATTATTATTCCCTCCATTTATTTAATTTTACGATATTTATTCTTGCTAGCATCATGTTTAGAAACATTGTTTTTAATTATTTGCGTCATGTTTAGGCTTTATATTAATCATACATGTTATTACTATGCTTAATGTCATTTTTATGATTATGTAGCATTATCTTTAGGATGCTTTAATTTGATGTTTTTAATATTATCGTCTAATTACTTTCTATATTTATGCATGCCTATGCTTATTTGACTTCTTCTATTTGAAATGATCACCTATATTTCATGTTTAATCAAAACCTATACTTGAAAATCACGCTTAATAAGAAAATTTAATTTGGACAACCAGTTTATTAAGTTCCCAATAATCTTATTGCTAAATTCAAGTGATCACAATTATTAGATTTATGTATGCACCAAATATTCAACCAACTTAGATTAATTAGATTAGAGCGAATTGAATATATTATTTGTATGTATTATAGGTTACAACTAATACATGTCGCTATAAAAATCGAATAGAGGCCAATACGGGCGAGGGGCCCCGGTTACTCAAAGTGATAAACGAAATTCGTAAATCAAATGGCAATAGCGTAAATACCGAGCCTTGAAATCCGTAAACAATTGTTAAAAAAAGGCCATCTGCAAATATACCAGCTATAGCAGACGTTTTTGGTTGGATGCGGAGTTAACAATATGTGAAACGGAAAAAACAGCTCCGTCAATATTGAGCGTTAACTTTTTACCATGAGAGAGAAAGTGGATTGTGTAACTTTGTTAGAAGAGAGAAGAGAGAGAATAATGGAAAAAGAGCTCGAAATTAAACAATGAAGGAGAAAGCAAATGAGAATCAACATTAACAGCTAGATCGATCGTGAATGCCATTAAAATTCTTGAATCAAATTGAGGTAATTTATCTCGTCGATTCGTGCAGTGGTTGTTCTTTGTTGTTGATACCTGTTATAGTGTTGGGTTAAATTATTTTGTTACAGTGATCTTTTAAACTTCAGGGTTTGAGGGATTTTATTTCGACGAATTAGCTTTACTAGAACTAGTAATCTTGTAAGAGAGGGAAGTCAAGTTTAATTTCCCTGAGTAGTGCTGGTTTAGCTTTGCAAAATTGACGTGTGGTATTCTGTATATGTAATGCTAAGTTAAATGGTTTAGTTGAGTGATTTGTTGTGGACATATTAGCTTTAATTGAATTGTTTAATTGAGTCCATTTCAAATAGTGGGGAATTCACCAATTTAGATTATCTTGCCTTTACTTATTAACCTTAGCATATCGTAGTTTTTATGATTTCAAATAGATTACTAGTTATATTCTGTAAAATGTATTGCAATTTTAATGTAAAAAAGTTGGTTTACTAGTTATATTTATCAGTGTTAATGTATAATCTTAATGTTGTGATACAGGTAACTAACTATTAATTATTGACCATTTTTTATATTATGGATGGCGATTGTGATGCTTTGGCTTCTGACTGTGATAACGTGGGTGGTGAGGGGTGTTGGTCTGACTATGCAGATGACATGGATGACATTGATCTTATGCCTCTAATGTCCCCCATCCGCAAAGAACAATGTGCTAAAGTTGTTGAATATCGTTCTCCCATTCATACAATGCAGACTATAGAAACAATAGTTTCAACTAATAGGAGCAGTCCAGGTTCTGTTGTTGAATCCCCTAAAGTTGGCATGGTTTTCAAAACATGGGAGGATATAGAGATTTATTACAAAAAGTATGATGAGCAGGAGGGGTTTGGGGTTACGAGGGTGCAAGGAACGAAATCTAAAGTTACCAATGAGCGTAAGTGCATTACATGGAGGTGTGAGTGTTGGGGTGCCCCTAACATGAGGGCTCAAAGGGAGGCGAAGAAGAGGGCAAAGGAGATGGATGTTGCCGGGTGTAAAGGTAAAGTTAATGGAGTCATAGGAGTGCAAGAGCATGCTCAAGGCAAGATAAAGTCAAAGAAATGTTACTCCCTTGTTATGATATATGCCGAGGTTAATGAAGATGGGGAGTGGGAGTTAAGGAAGGTTTTTAATGAGCACAATCATGACCAAAATCCCAGTGATGCAGTGTTGGTTAAAGAATATAGGATGAAGAACTACACCTCAAATGTGAGAAAGACTCTGATTAATTTTTATGAAGAGGGTTTACCTGTTTCCAAAATTCGTAATGGTCTGTCACATACGAAGGAGGTGTTGCCTTCTTTGAAGGACATGGAACACGAGGTTTATAAAGCTACGAGACTGAAAATGGAGGGTGGTGATGCGATAGCCATGATGGCTTATTTTGACCGGATGCAAGCGGACAATCAGAATTTTTACCATTGTCACCGATTAGACCAATATGATCGGTTGAAGGATGTTTTATGGGTGGATGCTAGGAGTCGGGCTGCATATGAGTATTTTGGGGATGTAGTCTGCTTTGATGCTGCCTATTTAACAAATCGATACGAACTTCCATTTGCGAATTTCGTGGGTGTGAATCATCACGGGCAGTCCTTCCTATTGGGCTGTGCACTAGTTTCACGAGAAGAAGCTGAAACATACACATGGGTTTTTCGGCAGTGGCTTGCTTCCATGGGCAACAAAACTCCACTAGCTATTCTGACTGATCAAGCAGCATCCATGAGGAAGGCCTTGGTACAAACAATGCCCAGTTCCAAGCGTCGTTGGTGTATATGGCATATTGTCAGGAAGTTTGGTGACAAACTAGGAAAGTGCGACAAGTGAGTGATTGGTTGTTTTGCTGTTTGTTTATTGTTCAACTTTAAATTATTGGCTGTCATTGTGTGTTCGTGGTTGTTTTGAGTTTTGATTTACTCAATGCTTGCATTTCAAACTTGTGGTGTTGTTATAATGAAATTATGTGTTACAATAGGTACAAAGAGTTCAAGAGCCCCTTGAAGACCATAATATATGAGAGTTTTACTGTGGAAGAGTTTGAAAGAAGGTGGCACGAGTGCATTAAAAAATAAAAGTTGGAAAAGAATGAGTGTTGGATGGCTTGTCCAAGGAGAGACATATGTGGAGAGCATAAACAGTTTTTAATGTCTCTGGGCGGGAGAATTTCTGGGCGGGGATGAAAACCACGCAACGAGTGGAGAGCATAAACAGTTTCTTTGATGGTTTTGTAAATCGGAAAACTAGGTTGTGTGAATTCCCTGTACGTTACACAAGGGCAATGATGAAGAGGGTTTCAGACAAGAATGAAGCAGATACGAAGGCTACCAAATACATCAGACGCCTTGTGAGTGGTTTCAAACATGAGAATTGTTTCAGAAGTTATATACCGATGCTAAGTTTCAGGAAATTCAAAAAGAACTTACCCGAATGATGTACTGTTATGATGGTGAGGTAACTGTCATTGATGAAAGTACGATTTGGTATGTGATTGATGATAGGGTGCGGATTGTACCGGAAGGTGAAAGCGAGGAAGTAATCACTAATCGACGTCGTAACTACTCTGTCTTGTTCAATCATGTGACAAAGGAGGTTTCATGTGACTGTAGGAGGTTTGAAACCCATGGCATCCTATGCAAGCACTGCATACGTGTGTTGGATAAGAACAAGGTGGAAAAGATTCCCGACAGATACATTGTCGATAGGTGGCGTAAAGATATTGTTAGGAAGCACACTAGAGTGAGGGTTGCGTACCATGATCCCACGCAGGCCCCAGAAGTTAAGAAGTTCAACAACATGATGAATGTATTTGAGCCAATATGTGATGATGCTGCAGTTGCTGATGATGATACAGTGGAAATAGTCGTGAAAGCATTATCTAAACTCCATATCAAAGTCAAGGAGAGCAGAAAGAAATACATGGAGTTAATTGCTACAATAAACCCTCCGTCTACTGAACCTCCACCCCAGTCAGAGATAGGGTCCAACAGTTCATGTCAACCATCTTCCTCTAATCAACAAGCAACAATTTTAGATCCGCCAATCAAGAAGCGAGCTCGGGGCAAGCCTAAATGTTTTAGGAATAAATCATATTTTGAGACAGGTTATAAACCAGCTAAGACCAGGAAAACCAAGGTAAGTTCTAAGTCAGGGGACTATGGTTTAGGAAGCTTATGTGCCTATGTTGTTTGATGTGAACTCAATTACTTTTGACTTTGTTTAACAGGGGGCGAAGCAAAATGATGAGTTGCATGTATATTTCTTCTGATGTTGCAACAATTTGTTCATTAAGCAGGTCTAAAACTCTAATGTGTGTCTGTTTAATTATACAAACCAGGACATGGATATCAGTGAGGCTGATGTATGCAGCACCCAATATGGTAGTGCCGATGATGCTGATGTATGCAACACCCAATATGGTGATAGTGTAAGCCTTGATGATGATGCTGACTTGGTGCTGGACTCGAACAGCATGGAATGGACCAAAGGGAGTTCTGAAGCTTTTTGAGGTTAACCATATAGTAGTACTCCACCCTTAAAACAAATCTGCGAATATTGTGCTATATATGTATGTTGTTTGTAATATCAAGTAGTAATATGTAGGAATATGTAGTAGTAATATTAGTAAAATCTAGTAGTTGATTTGTGATTAAGCTTGACAATTCCTGATTTCTCTGCTGGAGTAAGGTTGTGGTGATGATTTCGTGATATAAACTGATCCTTTGTTGGATGATTTCTCTAGTGGGGTAAGGTTTTGAACTTGTAGTCTTGTATTTTTGGGTTTTGGTTTGCGTTAACTTACTTATTGGATTCTGATATATACTAGAGTTTTGTGATTCTGACATGGAGCTGTGCTTGGACCTTCATCTTCCTGGAAGACCCACTAACATCAGCAAGATAGAACCTCCTCATTGTTGTATCCATGTTGGCTTGGGGATCCTTAACCACCAATTAAGCAAAATATCATAAAGTTAAGCCAAATATACCAAGTTTATCATAAAGTTAAGCTTAATGTACGAAGTTTATCATAAAGTTAATACAAATATACCTAGTGTATCATGAAAAATAGTTTTTTTTCATACCCGAACCAAACTAGAAATCATTAAACTTAACAAGAACGTAATATAATAAAATGTACTTTTAGAGATCAACAAATTAAAAAGAACATAATAAATAATGAAATTAAAAACAAAATATATCAGAAGTCAAATATATGAAGATTTATTATAACAAGATAATTAGAACAACAAAATTCAAAAAATAAAAATAATAAAAATAAAATGGATAATTAGATCAGTACAATTAAATATTATAATTAAATTTACAAAATTTAAGATTTAGAGATCTATATTATTTGTGGTTACATAACAACACAAGCGCCATTCATCCAACGAATTTATATTAACACAATTCATGTTATATATTATTACAAATGCCATATATTAAAACCGGTACCATCCATGCAATAGATTTAATAAATCTAAGTACAAACAATTAAAGTTACATAACAACACAAGCACCATCCATCAAATTAATTTAGTGACATGAGTGGAGTTATAAACAATCAATGTTACATAAGAACACAAGTACCTTCCCATTGGAGATTAAAATTGATCCATTCCTAATTGAAGCTTGTCGAGCGGTGTCTTTTGCATCAACAGGAAAACCATTTGTTTCTTTTGTCAACCAAAAGGATGTGGGTTGGCAACCAAGTCTAGCAGCATAGTCGTTGTAGATATGATCAAAGGTTTGATCAATGGTGATAGTGTACATCACACCTATGTCTCCAGGTGATAAGCTCCTCACAATCACCCCAAACTCTTCACCAGCATTCCCATTGCCTGCATTAGAGGACTCTCCCATGGTGGGTTTCCCTACAGATTCATCTTCAGTGCAGCTGGAGGAGTCACTAGCAGAGGATTCATCATTCCTGTGGCCAAAAAACGTCCTCAGTTGAGCCAGCAGCTTGCTTTTCACACAAGGATTCATCACCTCTTTCCGATAGTAAGGATGCACCTCACCCTCACCAAACATGCTTGAAGAAGCATTTTCGACTCCAGCTTCCTTTTCTTTCTGGCTGACCTTCTCGCCTTTTTGGCTGACATTACCCCCTTCCCTTTCTTATCTTTGCAGAACCCTTCTCCAGCCTTTCCCTTGCCCTTGTCTCCTTTGCTTAGGGATAAGGCAAGCGACTTACGTTTTCCCTTACCAACAACTGGGGGTATGGCATCAGAAGGGGTGAGGGCAACGACCTTTCCCTTGTCTGCACTCTCAGATAAGATCTTTTTCATTTTGGCCCTATCTTCCCGATTGGGAGAGAGACCCTCTATCTTCTCCTTTGATTTGGTCGGAGAAGCAGCGTCGTCACTCATGTTGTCACTAGCTCCTTGGGAGATAACATCAGCTTTCGAGGAGGAAGGCATTTTGTTTGTAGTTTGTTTAGATGGCTGGTGGTGAGGGAGCCTGTATAACACACCTTTATATAGGAGCATATTTAGAAAGGTAATGGTTATGCTTCTAAGTACAACAGTATATAGTTGAATAATATTTGCATATAACCAAATTACACATTGTTAACATCTTAGGTAACATCTTTACTAATATATAAAGTGTTGGTAAGAACGTCCATGCCATGTACATTACGCCATGCCATGTACAAGGTGTTGGTAAGAACGTAAAGTAATCTTTACGCCATGCCATGGACTTGTAATTAAAAAAAATGCTCTAATAAGACTTAAATACAAAACACGCAACCTCTCAATTTAAAAATAATTTTTTCACCACAAAAATAAGTTAATTTTTATGTATTCTTTTGAATATAGAATATTTTCAAGATTACTGTTAACACACAAAAACAAAAATAAAAAAAATAAAAAAAATAAAATAACCAAAATTACAATGTATATTTTCAGAAATAAAAATATAAAATAACCAAATAAATAAATAAAAATCGAATAGTTTCATGATTTAAAATATATTTAATTATTAAAAATCGAATTATTAATTACAAAGTATATTATTTTACAGCCCTAAGTAAGTAACAACCAAGTAATAACCCGGGGCATCGCCCGGGCTCTAAAAATGACCTTAACTTATATATCCCAAAATGGATTCAAATGATGAGAATTGGATTCAACGTAATCATATTCTTTCTAAATTTATCAAGTTAAAACCATAGTTAACCGTATTTGTATTTTTTCGACCCGAATTTCAGAGTGAAAATTAAAATAAATCAGAGTGACAATTACTCTAATGAACTAATATATTTTTAATAATAGACGCCGGGTAAGTTCTAGGTTCATTGCAACTTCTGTTTCACTTTCGGTCAAGTACGACTTCACATGGTCATGTTACAGTTAATCAGTAGTGGTTTCATTTTTCACGGCACCCGTCGTTTTTAACTGTACTCTAGTTACTCGTACACAACTGCTACGTTAAAAGATCTTATACTTTGCTCCAAAATATTTTTTGGTTTCCACGCAAATTGTACAACTTTTCCTATTCAATTATTACAACTACTACACCCTAGTATTTTATGACAAGACAAATGCATTAACCCTATTAGGCTATTAGCTTTGAATTGTCTTGTCAACCTCACACTCCCCCATTTTACTATCCCCCTTTTCATCTAATTGTTTATTTTAACTGTACTCTTTCTTTTTTTGCTGTATTCCCACCCCCATATATCTTTTAGTTTCTAGTCCAATAAAACCAAATGAGTACGGAAAGCCCATATAACCATTCTAAACCCTAAACCATTCTGAACACTAAACCTTCCATACCCTAAACCCTCGAAACTCAACCCTAATAATCCCTAAACCCTAACGATCCCATACCCTTGTAACCCCACTAAACCCTTCAACCCTAAAACTGTGCAACACCCAAAGCGACTAGCGTTTACATTTACTTTAACTGTGTTTTCATCCAGATGAATTTTTATTCAGATTCCATTTTGGTGGGTAATAAAATTGGAAAGATGTAATGGGAATATTATTGCTAATCCGTTATATTGATTTTTCGATACCCCAACCAAGAGTGAAGCTAATTAACACAACAACATAAATGGGACGTAATTGTACCGATGTGGTGAGTTGCACCCGACTATAACCTTTAAAAACCAAAAGAGAACAAGCCCTAATGCCTGTACGTATTTTAAGGTAATATTAGTCATTTGTTAAAACCTTGGTTTTACTTCTACAAATGTATGATCTATATGGCATTATTATACGTGTTCAAGTATCAGAAATCATATATGGTATTAATTTATAATTTTCTTTTTTGAAAAAAAATGGCATTATTTAGATGGGATGAATTGAAAACTTTGAAACAAAATTTATCTATTTGCTATGTACACATAATGAATTAATTAAAACTTATTAATACTTAATTAAAGGACAATAATTAGGAAAATTCAAATAGTATTAAATTCTAAGACCCTAAACGCCCTTATGCACAATATAAAACTCTTTATTAAAAATTAAACAGTGTAACAATAATTTTGACATTTATAAAATTTTTATTTCTTTAAATTTAATTTTGTCAATGTTTAATTTTCTTTTTAAGATTAAAAATTGTCCGAAATTGCAAATTCTGACGATTTCGATATACGTGATTATCTAGGATTGTATTGATTCCCACGTTTTACGGCCAGGAATCATCCCTGCGTTTTTTTTAAAAAAAACTTTCAATCACACTATTAGAGCATCTTTAAGGGTGAACATTTTAATAGTTCACAATGAGTGAACAAATAAGGTGGTGGCTTAATGGCAAACTCTTTAATTGTTCATGTTGAGTGGTCATGGGTTCGATTGCAGGAGCAAGCACTTGCATGAATTCTGTGGGCCCCACCAATATTTTGGACTGATATTCATGCAAAACGACGTCGTTTTGCTGTTAAAGGTCAGAAAAAAAAAATAGAAATCAGCGGCTGGGAGCGCGCCACTTGGCCCAGCCGCTGCTTGACACGTGTGTACTGTTTTAAATATATCCGTTGTAATTTTACAACGGATATATTTTACAAAATACAAATCAAAAAAAAAAAAAAAATTACCAACGACTCTATTTTTTTCCCCTCTATAAATAGACACCTATATTGATATACTTTTTTCAACTTTGAAAATTCATTTTTTTCTACTATATTTTTCTCTTCAAAAATCCCCTCTATAATTACCAATATTATTATTATTTATACCAATATTAATATTATTATTGTTATTATTATTTTTAATTATTATCATTAATATTATTATTATCGTTACTATTATTTTTATTATTATCGTTATTATTATTATTATTTTTATTATTATCGTTATTATTATTATTATTATTATCGTTATTATTATTATTATTATTATTATCGTTATTATTATTATTATTATTATCGTTATTATTATTTTTATTATTATTGTTATTATTATTATTATTATTATTAAATTTTTATTTTTTCCAAATATAAATTATAATTATGGATGCTAATACCAACCCCAAAACAAATAGAAAGAAGAAAAAAAATTTGGGTCAAAATATGATCCCGAATCAAGCCAATTTTCCTCCAATTCACCCAAATTTTTCACAAACACCCACAAATATTCCCCATAATTTTTCTGGAGTTTATCCTCAAATACCCCAGTCAAGTTTCCCAAATAATCCACCAAATTTCCCTCAAAATTTTAATTTTTCTCAAAGCAGTTCAAATTTCCCACATCCATCCATGTAATTCATTGTTTGTCATAGCCCATGTGATCTTTGTCTCTTTATATTCAGTTATTTCTGAAGAAGAATTACAAATTAGTTCACTATAAATAAACACCATTCTTTCATTTTTTTTTACACACAAACACATAAATCGTTTGCAGTTACTATTAGCAAACCTCACTCTATCTTACATTTCTTACGTACAAAATGAATTCAAACAGTTTAAACGAAAGCTCAACCGATTCCTCTTCATCTTCATCTAACTCGGATGATGAGGGAAGGGAGCTTAGAGTTCAACAACGTAATGAAGTGTGTCTTATGATACAACACGTAATGCATGAGTACATTCCACCAATTATTCAAGCTGCCACTCAGCAACGCCGACGCAAATCTACTGAGCCCCGAAAGGATAGGGGACGCGAAGAAGGTCATGCACGGTTATACAATGACTATTTCGCGGAAGTCCCAGTTTATCCAAGTTCCTTGTTCCGGCGCCGGTTTCGAATGTGTAAACATGTGTTTGAGCGCCTTCTCAACGCAGTGACCCAACATGACCCCTGGTTCAACAAAGGCGAGATGCGGCAGGTCGTCTTGGTTTGTCTCCACTTCAAAAGTGCACTGCGGCCGTTAGACAACTAGCTTACGGGTGTGCTTCAGACGCTTGTGATGAGTATGTCCGTATAAGTGAGGCAACTTCACGATTGACACTCCAAAAGTTTACAGAAGGTGTCATCAACCTGTTCGGTGATCAGTACCTACGCCGTCCAAACATCGCAGATATGGAAAGATTGCTACGTATTGGGGAAGAACGTGGATTTCCTGGCATGATAGGCAGCATTGATTGTATGCACTGGGAGTGGAAGAATTGTCCACACGCATGGAAGGGGCAGTATCAAGGAAGAGAAGGAGTTGCAACTCTCGTACTGGAGGCAGTTGCGGACAGAGATCTATGGATATGGCATTCGTTCTTTGGGATGCCAGGTAGCTCCAACGATATTAATGTGCTTCATCGATCCCCTGTGTTCGAAGACGTCTTAGAGGGTCGAACACCTCCTGTGAACTTCGTAGTCAATGGTCATCATTATACGAATGGGTATTATCTTACTGATGGAATCTACCCTAGATGGGCTTCTTTTGTGAAATCCATTACGAGTCCACAAACTCGTCAGGATCGTTTATTCGCAAAACACCAGGAAGCTGCAAGGAAAGACGTTGAACGCGCATTTGGGGTCCTTCAAGCTCGTTTTGCCATTATTAAAAAGCCGTCTTTGGCGTGGGATACCGACATACTCCACAATATCATGATCGCCTGCATTATAATACATAATATGATCGTTGAAGATGAACGAGAGACGTATCAAAATAACGTTAATACCAATGAGTTTATGAATGCTGGAGGCAACGCTAATGAGGACACTACTGAGTACCGTACTGATCGTATTGTGGATATCAGCTTATACTTGTCTCGTAGAACAGAGATTGAGGATCAACAGACTCATTTGCAGCTAAAAAACGACTTGGTCGAACATATATGGAATAAATTTGGTAACAACGAAAACTTAGGCAACTAGGTTTACAACAAATGGTTATCCCTAAGGACATCTTACAAAACGATGTGTAGTTGTTTTTTTTTTTTTAAATAAAATGTACTAGATTATAGTTGTAGAACTGTAATCACGATTTGTACCTCTTTTTTTTTTTTGTTAATTAAAATTAGCTGCGTTGTTGTTTAAAAAATATTAATCACAAGAATTAGTTTTTTAAAAAGCTGATAAAAAAATGCGATAATTTCTTAATTAGTAATCACGATTAAAATATTAAATACGTCAATTAATTGCATTGACATCGGGTTAATAAATTATAATTATGAAACAAAAAAGATTATATTTACAAAAATAAAATAAGGTGGGGTAGGGAATATTGATGATGAACCATTGTTTAGTGTTCATTGTTAAGAGTGAATATTGTAAATGGTTTGTTGGGTTGATGTGGATGAGAGAGAAATGGTGATAGTGACCCATGAACCATTTTTTTGTGTTCACCAATAATGATGCTCTTAGCTTTGCCCCTTTTCCTTAAAAGTTCGTCGTAACCCCATCATCTGCTTTTTCAGACCTCCCGGTGGAGGTGATGTTGACTATGAGCTGGACATAAACAAAACAACAACATACCTCCACACCGGTGTCTCAAATTCTAGCCGATAGCAGACTGTTTTGAATGAAACTATTTCTAGCTTTATCCTAATGCCTCAAAATTTATCATACCCGCTGCGAAACTTGAAGATGAAAACATGCGGCGCGGATAGTGTGGTTCAACCTGCCTACCTCCCAAGCATCCGTGATTGCCACCCCCTGCCGACCAGTTTCCAAAATGCAATCAAGTGGTACCTCCAGAATTATCACGCCATTCCTCCTCACCTTCTTAAATTACTTGACCCAAAACCCCAACCCAATTTTGGGACACCAAGGTTTCAACTGATGTTCGAAAAGCTTTACCTTTGTATGGCAACCTATTCTGATGCTCTACAACTTGTCGATGCACCGCTTCACTACTCTGTCATAGGCTTGAAGGTATCACAACATGGTAATAATTTCCCCTATTACAGAGCACCTTTCCACATTGTCATCATGGATCCTCTTGTTTGTCAACCATTTCAGCCGGGGTATACTCCCCTTAGCCCTGAGACTCGTATAGCTTGTTGGAATGTTCGTGGAATCACGAGACCTTCCTTCGTAGCGAATTTCAACATCTTATGCGAGGTCTTCCACCCAACAGTAATCGTCTTATTGGAGATCAGGCACGCGGGGAGAGAACGTGGCTGCCATGATAAATCAGCTAAGGGGGAGGTATCATCAATTCGCGTCGCCGGTCAATTCATTCGACGGAGGTGTAGCTATTCTATGGGTTCCCGGTGCAATAATGATTGAGCATCGTCCAACCATTTTCCCAGATTCAGTGGTTAATGTGTTCATGCAGGGTAAATATAATTCTTATCGTCTTTACTCTAATTCGTAACAACAATTAACCAATTTTAGTCTTGACTTTAATTAAGAAAATGTAGTCTAAGTGTGTGTGCTATTTATTTTGTAAAAATTTGCCTTTAATTTTTGAATTTGTAATGGCAGGGGTTACAAGCACTGGAGGCACAGGTCTTCCCAATTAATCAGACTCATTGCAATGGTTTGATGTTTTGTACTTTTTATTTAAGATTTGGTAAATGTTTGGACTCTATTTTGTTGTATGACAATTTGCTCAATGTATGTCAAATAGCCGTATGAAATGAATCAGCTTTTTAATTATTACTCGTATGTTTTTGTGACTGTATGGCTTGTATTGTTAAATGCGTGTCTATCTTACATTTTATAAATCTGTTAATGTGTGTGAAAGTATAAATTACTTGTTTTTTTAATCGACGCACACTACATCTAAAATTACTTAAAAGTAACAAAGGTTACGCTTCAATTAGGCATCCAAAAAAACCAATTAGCATTGAAAATTTAACGTACCAATTGTAAATAATGAATATACCCATTGGCGGACCTACGTTGGACCAAGGGGTAGCACGTGCTACCCCTAAAAAAATTAAAAAACCAAAAAAAAAAACCTACAAAAATATTTTGATATAAATAATTTACCTTGTAGAATAGTTAGATGCAATCAGCGTTGCTCTAGTGGTTTGGTGAATTTGAAGTTAGTTGTTTAGTGTGTGCCAAATCTAAGGATCGATTCACCTTAGCAACGAATTTAGTTTTTTTTTTTTTTTTTTCTTTTTTTTTTTTCTTTTTTTTTTTTTTTTTTTTGTTTTGGTTTTTTTTTTTGACATAGTATATTAGTATTCATTTTTACATTTTCATTAAAAAGAAAACTAGCTCTCTAATCTCTAGAACACTCCCTCCTTTCATAGAAATTCTTCCCATTTTCATGCATAATTTAATTTCCAAAGCACACGTGATAATTTTTTCTTATATCCAACGCTTATCACATAAAATTTTGATCGACAGATAATACTTATACATTATTACATTAGAAATTCATGGAACATATGGATTGGAGTACTTTTGAATTTAATTGTGTATACAGAGTACTAAAAACTAGAATACTAATTAGTTGTAAAACAAATTACCAAAATGTAAATAAAATGTTTTAAAACGGTTTGTTATTACTCCTAGGGTTTTGAATAATTCAGTATGATTGACATATATATGTCTTAAACTATCACCATATATATATATATATATATATATATATATATATATATATATATATATATATATATATATATATATATATATATATATATATATATATATATATATATATATATATATATATAAGTACTATCAACAAATACAAATATAAAATTTGATATTGTTCTGGGAAATTATACATAATAGATTACAACAAGTATTCACTTAATTATGTTTACTGGTATACATTGATAAATTAGTCATTGTGACTTTGTTTTTTTAACAAGTAAAAGTGGTATATATGAATATAGTTATAATGTAGGTCAAAATTGATCATGCACACACTAATAAAGTATGGATGAGTATATACAAAAAGATTACGCATTATATACTTAGTAATAAAATCAACCCAATTCGTTTGCGACAATCTAAATAGTTTATTACAAGTTTGTAGTCGTTGTGATACCCCTAACTAGAAACTCTGGATCCGCCACTGAATATACCAATGAATACCAAATCAAGTTTGTCTTAGTTTGCACTTTCACTCTTCAAAAATGAACTGGTGGACATTTTAATAATCAACTAACCTAATTAAACTTATAATGAAATTTGTAGTCATAATCACCCAATTGATATGGCATTCTTAAAACCAAAGGGCTCTAAAATATCTCCAAGGTAACCTTATGAAAATGTTCAAAGGCGAGTAAATACAATTCAAAAACAAGCACATACGTGATACACATAAGCCATTAGGAAATATTTTCAACATCCCAAAAGATGACCTAGATACAACACAAGTCAGACAAAATGGAAACAAAAGAGTTGTTGACAAACATTAGTTCAAAAAGTAATGCCCTCCATATAACAGAAGTGTTTGATTTTGGTACTACTTGATTGAGACCTTGAAGGCTAGGGGATTCTTTCGAAGCAACTGTACAATGACCTTCTTCCTAGCCATAACCTTCACACCATGCATCATCTCCTTGACCCCTTCCCTGATGTTGCAAAAGACAATTTTCACATTGGAATCTCGCTTCACAAACAATTTTGCTTTCCACATTTCATTGTTTCCGTCCCAGATGTCAGTAGGATTCTCGTATCCAAACAAACTGAAGTGGAGCCCTGCAAATTTTAGGGGCATATTCTGCATTATTACAACACAAACATAATATTTTAAAATGTCATTATATAACCATACAATCCCATTACACCTGTTATTTGGAAAGGAGAGAGTATCCTCCTCCAACCCAGCATCATTGTGGCTAGACTCCTCCATTTCAGCATCGTTGTGGCTAGCTTCCTCTATTTTAGCATCCTCCTCCATTTCAGCATCATTTTCAATTTGCTCAATGTCTTCCGAAGAATCAGAAGATGTCTCAATAGAGTCAGGGATGTATTTGCCACCACACTAGATACGTACTTTGAATGCCCCATCACCCATATACAATAAGTCAAGTATATCACCAAGCATTATGCCGTTGTCCTTCACGAAATCAGACCATCCATCCTTAAAATATATCTCTATGCCTGATTTTTCTCTATCTTAACCCACTTAACATGGTAAATCCGTGTGTTATCGCCTCTATAGACCCTAACATGTTTTGTAATCCTGCGAAAGAGCTTACTAATTTGATTTGGAACAAACTGGTATAAGATTTAAAAGGTACATGTTAAAATTCAAGGGTGATAGCAGGACAAGTTCTCAATACACTTATGTACTGTCAATTTAAGAAGTAATTTCTCACCAATTCAGACAACTTCTCGTCGTTAATCAGAACGGTGAACCAAGTTTTCCCTTCCTCTGGCATAGCTACAAATTGAATAACAGATTGGATTTGTAAAATAGGTAATTAGTAATTGTTCGTAGTTAACTGATTTGACAACACAATCTAACACATGCGAGATTCTAAAAATTAAAAAAGGGAAAGGGGCTGAATATTGACATCATACATATTAATGTATACAAATTATATGTTATTATTAATAACCAAAATCCGTTTTGGTTATATAATCGGAAATTAAAATATACGTAAAAATAATAGATTCAGAACATAACCAAATTTAATTATTTAAAAACAAAATTTGGAAACAATTACTAAAATGTGAAAATAAGTTGAATAAAATGTGAAAATAAGAACACAAAAACTTTTTAACAAAAAAAAAAATCACCGAATCTAAACCACGAATGTAGGATAAATCAAATTTAACGACATAAGATAGTAAGATACATAGTTGCAATCTCGAGTGAATACATGCAAGACCAAATCTCTATGGATTTTCAAACATAGCACACACTATAAATAAGAATAAAACATTCAAGTTCAATAATTAGTAATCCAAGAACCCACCAAACTTCATTACATGTAGATCTTGCCAAATTAAAGCCGTAAAACAAAAAAATTGAAGGCATAAAAGGGAATTACAGCGAGGGTGAAACTTACCGTATTCCTACTTTAATTAGGGTAACCAAGTTCGACGATGGTGGTATGGAAGGGTGGGGAATCAATATCCTTGTAGGTAGGTGGAGTCAGACTTCGGTGTTGATGCGGCCGGAGTTGTTTAGTTCGATTTCAGATGAAAGGAAGGGTTTGGTCTTTAATTTCACCGGAGTAAAATTTTGAAAAGGACAGTTATGTTTTTTTAATGTTTCCTTTGCTTTTTTTTGGATGGGGTGTGAAGTCAAAGAGTCAAGGAAAGTCATTTGTGATATAAATTTAATAATAAAATCAAAACCCAAATAATTAACTTAATTAAACTTGATATTAGTATTAATTTTGAATATTAAAATGTATTACAAAGTTACTAATAAATGTGTTCATTACTATTATTAGCGTCACAGAGAATACAATAACAAATAATAAGCTTAAGAATGAGGACATGTTGTAAGTCAACGGGCCTTAGCAATCTTAGTGGTATACGTATCTTACATGTTTTGTAGCTAAAAAATCTTAGGAATATATTATTTGGTTCATGAAATGATATTTTCCTAAATAACGCTCATATTTGAAAACAAAATATAATATTAAAAATAATACTCGTATTTTATTTATCTGCCATTATATAATCAATTTCAATTATGTTTTGTGGTTATCTTTTCACTGTAAGATTTAATATGGTACTTGTAACTAGAGCTGTCAATTCGGGTAAACGAGTCGGGTTAGTGTAACTCGGGTCATCTCGAGTCGGGTCAATACGGGTAAATGTCATAACATTTGAGGGTCGGGTTTGGGTTGGGTCATGCTTGAGTGGGGTCACGACGAGTCATACAACTTATCTGGTTAAAGATCGGTTTGTTGAAGTCAATAATTTGCGAGTTCGAGTCGGGTTCGGTTCAAGTCAATAATTTGCGGACAACATGTTTCGTCCCTAGAAACTCTTAAACTTTAAAGTGAAATATTGAGCTTATGGAGTTAGGATTCAATGCAATGTGACGGCCTACACATATTGATTCAATATTAAGTTGGGTTGAATTTGGGTTGGATTTGTAACAAGTCGAGTTGAAATTAAAATCAGGTTTGTAGCAGTTGGGGTTTAAATTCGCGTCGGGTTATGAACAAGTCGGGTTGTATTAGCTTCAGCTTGGGTTTGGTTAAGGTCGGCTTTGGTTTAGGTCAATAATTTACGGGTTACATTCGGTTAATGATCGGGTTCGGGTCTCACATATCTATATCTATAGCTGTCTGCCTTTATAAAAAAAATTAATTATCTATATTTATAGATATATCTATATCTATTTCTATACTTATATATTAAAAAGGAAAGCGTTCCGAACAACTTTTAGTGGCACCCTCGCCATGTCATCTTTAAACTATGAACATATCTTAATAAAAATGTATATCATGAGTATTGAAATCACAACCACAAACATATGCATTACAGTCACCTAATAAGTCGGATTTTTAGAGTCGCGTATACATAAGGTGCATTGAGGTTGAGGTAGTTGGCGAGTTTGGTTATCTACGACGCTCACCTAATGAGTCGCCTAATATGTATAAGGCGACTCAATAGGTTAATGAGTCGCACCTTATATACAGCTGACTTTGAAAATCTAATTTAAGCCACCAATTAAGTGAGGTTATAGAGTCACATGCATATAAGGTGCGACTTGTAAACCTGTCAAGTCACCTCATATAAAGTCACATGCATATAAGATGAGACTTGTAAACCTGTCAAGTCACCTCATATAGATTCACATGCATATAAGGTGTGACTTGTAAACCTGTCAAGTCACCTCATATAGAGTCACATGCATACAAGATACGACTTGTAAACCTGTCAAGTCACCTCATATAGAGTCACATGAATATAAGGTGCGACTTGTAAACCTGTCCAGTCACCTCATATAGAGTCACATGCATATAAGGTGCTTTGTTGATTCCCAACTTAACAGGGCACCTAATAAGAATTTTTACAAACTCGCACCTTATATACAACCTAGTCTAAAGGCCCGACTTGTTTACAAAAATCAATTCAAGTTACTTGTAAATATTTTCAAATTTAAACAAACTATGTATGTATCGGGTAAACTTCTTGTTCCGAGTCTGTTTGTGTCACTTTTGGGTTTTGAGTCTATTTGGGTCAATAAATTAAAGTTTTAGGTCGGGTTGGGTCGGGTCAACTACGGGTGGTGTTGATCCAGGTTATGGATCAAATTGGGGTGACTCGGGTCAATTCGACTTCAGGTCATGGGTCGGGTCATCGGGTCTCGGTCAGAATTACCACGTCTAACGGGCTGTGGCGGGGAGGATGTTGGTCTTCCCATCCACATCCCCACCTAATCAATCTCCGTATCTCCAATAACAACCCTGCATTATTAATACGGATTTCACTTCTACCCTTTAAGTTAAATCGATCACTAATTTGGGGGATGATTTTCAAAATCGCTACCACATAGGCTTGGAGATACATTTGGAGGTAGCGGTTTGTCTTTAGTGCTCATTTTATAAAAGGTAAAAGCACTACCTTAATCCGAAACCGAGAATAACCCGAACCGTGTACTTTTGAACCCGATAGCAACCCGACCCATTGTAAACCGAAACCGTTTAAACCCGACAAAAACCCGATAAACCCAAATCGTTTACAACATTTAACTGGTTAGGATTGAACTGTTTATAACCCGTAATAAGTTATGCTCCAACCGTTTACAAACCGTAACCGGTTATAACCGAACCGTTTATAATCCGTAAGTCCGTAACCCGTTATGACATTAGATTTTCTTTTTTCTTTTTATTTTTTGGGTACATTTTTTCAATAGTAAAACAAAAGGGTTTCATTTGAATTACAAAATATTTATATTGAAAAGGTTTGGAAGTTTGATGTCTTTAAAACTCTTATGCTACAATACTATATCGTCCCCTAACGAGTAATGGCTTATGGAACAATATATTGTACTCCGTATTAAAAAAATCTAAAATGTAAATCAAAAGCTAACTTTAGATTTGTTATTATTATTTGATCCTTAAAATCATTATACAAAAAAAGGACATAAAGTTAAACAACTAATTAATACTCCGTATGATCTACTGGAATAACTAATTAAAGAATATTTAGGATATACTAGACGATATATGTTAACGAAACCCTTTTAAAACTAAAAAAACTAGTTGTCAAACTGACTAAGTTCAACTCGAACCGATTACAGCCCGACCCGATTTGGACCCGATATGTGTTTACCCAAAACCCGCTTTAAAATGACAAACCCCATTTTTAAACCGGCCGAATTTAAACCGAACCGATTATGACTCGAACCGATTATAACCCGACCCGATTAAAATCCGACCCAAAAAAAACTGTAATAAAAATAAACCACACCGACCCACCCAAACTGACCCGTTAATAATTCCAACCCGTTAAAAACCGACCCGTTACAAACCGAACTGATAAACCGAACCCAAAACTGAACCAAAAACCCAATTGACACCCCTAACTATGATGCAAAAAGTGTACATCCGAGACTACGTGGACAATTATTCCGTAATTATATTTCATTCCAACGCAAAAGTGTAAATAAGTTTTAAAATAATATCATAAAACATCCCTAAGTTAATTTGGGACTATTACTATGTAGTCCTTAATATATGTGTAACAATAATCTGAAGTAAACGTGTGTTGTACTTACGAAACAGTACAACTGTTTTTATTCTTTTGCATGTTGAGTCGAAGAGACGTGATAATCTAAATAAATGAAGGACTGATTCCCAAAGCCAAAGGATTCGATCATAAGTACACATCCCCCTAAAATTGGGTTGTAATTCTCTGAGAAAGTTCAAAAGCCTTTCCCTATCCGTTTCATCCTCTTTCAATCAGAAACCCTAAACCATAAAGTATGGCCGATAATGACGATAATTCTCCAAGGAATGATGAGTGGTATCGGGAATTTCTCAAGAAGCGGAAAGACAATCTCCCGGGACAGTTTCTGACAAACGCCGAGGTCCGTCTGGAAGCGACAAAGAAACTAGACTCACTCATGGAGGAAATGGAATATCGATCTAGACAAAGATTTAGCAAAGTGCGAAGCAGCAGCTAAGAGAAAGAGCAAAGGTGAGGAACGTACGTCTGGGAGCAAAGGTGAGGAACGTACGCCTGGAAGCAACTTTCACAGTCCAATTGAACTTGGTAGTGATAGTGATGAGGAACCGATGAGGATGATAAGTGTAGGGAATATTTTCAAGCCTTTAAAATCCCACTATTTTGAACCCCACTGTGATCATACACTAAAGTACGGTGACGTCCAAAAGGGAAGAAGATATAGCAAAAGAGTCGCCAACAAGTTTTTTTAGGAACTTGTAAACCGTTCACGAGGTGAAGGTTACACCCCTTAACGATCCAAGATATCGTCAACTCCATAAGGTCTAGAACCAAATAAGGGTTCAGGGATGAAGGTACAAATCCAACCTAAAAGAGATTGAACCTGTCCTAATAATAGGCCTCTACTTCATTCTGATCGTATTTATGTGCGCTTTCTAATTAACATGCAATCAATAGGATTAACCCTAAACCTGTTTATCTATGTTGGTTGAATATAATGCACAAATAAATCTATTATTGGCGATCACTTGAAATCATAATCAAATTAACCCTAAAAAAGATTATTAATTATCTTATTAAGCATGATTACAAGTACAAATTCCCTTTAAACATGCATAAAGGTGTGATCAAGCAATAAAAAATAAATATCAAGCAACATGATAAATTAATTATGATCATTAAATTATAAGAATGAAATAATCATCATCGAAATAACAATAATAATAATAATATTCATAATCATCATAAATTATAACAATTATAATCATAATTATGTTCATGTTAAAGCATGATAAAAATAGCAAGATCCTAGGCATGATACTAACAAGATTAATAACAAACCCTAGCACGTCACTAAGCAATAAAAATCAAATCTTTAACCCTAACATGATACTAACAATCATAAATATTAGAAAGAAGGATGCATCGCAAGAATCATAATAAGCATATTTGATATTATAACTCTTTCCCTAAACATGATACTAGGAATATCATAATAACAATGTAAACATGATTTCTACATCATTATATCAATTAATCAATTAAAGTACTTACTTTGATGCCTCGTACCTCTTTCTAATAACAAAATACACAAATTAGTAACTTCAAGGAAAATAATAAATCAAACAATTAAATTAAGTAATTGAAAGAGAGATTTGGGACCAAACCCTCAGAAAATAAACCTTTCACGTCTAGGGCGAAGGCAACTTTGAATATGACTAGGTGTTTCTAGATCTTGCGAATGCGGAATTTTGTATGAAAAAGCAAAGTAAGAAGAACAATGAATGAAGAATGCTAATTA